CCCCCCCCCCCCCCCCCCCCCCCCCCCCTTCTCTCTCTCTCTCTCTTACACTGTGGCATCTGTCTATGCCGAGCCATCCAATGCAGCAACTGGGACTGCGAGAATTGGATGCGGTGCTTCCACAGTCCACACCCGGACCGGTCCTGTCCGGTCTGTCGCGGTGGCAAATTACCATAGGAAACCGGCGCTCCTCAGCCCAAAATCTTATGCAACCCAAACATTGGCTGGCCTCATGTCCCATTCTAGAGTAGTCTGCTCCAGTGATGAGTATTTAGAATCCTGTGAAGTTCTTCACATCTCTGTCTGTCCTTTGCACTCCACTTCCTCCCCTACCAGTTCACCCTTACAGAACTCCGCTTCTTACCCCTTTCCCTTTACCCTCCCCTTATGTGCTACTGGCAAACAAGATACGGATGAGCATCATTAAGAGAGCAGACAAATAAGCTGAGGCTCTGAACTGAAATGAACAGTAGTATACCTTCCCCTTTACTCTGCCTCCTTTCATAACGTGCAAGTGGGCGGTTAAACCACCAGTACCTACCGGTTGGGGTGGCCGTTAACACGGAAGCCCAATCGGCCTGCCCCTGCGGTCCAAATTCATTGGAGGCCGGGGGGTACGAAAAATGCCGTAGGTACTAGTGGTTTAAGGCACAGTAAAAGGATGTTGGAAGCTGCCGCTCAACCACAATCAACGTGGGCAGCCTTGTACGTGCGAGGCACAGTAAAAGGGGAGCTGCAAGAACAAATGGAAGGGGCACCCACCCAAGGATAACCAAAAAACTGTCTAATTGTAAAATTGCTTAAACGTTGGACTATCTCAACTCAAGTGCTCTCATGGTCTGCAATAGGACAAAATCTGCTTTGATTCTGAATCTCCTCATCTGGGGGGTGGAATTGGGGCTGTTGTGGAGAAAATTTAAAACACACGCACACGCACACGCACACGCACACGCACACGCACACGCACACGCACGCGCACACAAACACCATGCACACGCATGCACACACAAACACCATGCACACGCATGCACACACAAACACCATGCACACGCATGCACAGACACACACATGAGAGTTACACACAGGCACATATATTTGCACACACATGGAGGGACACAAAGAGGAGAGAATTCACCTTCAGGTGAGAACTTGAGCTGAGGACATCACTGCATAACTCCCAATTTGATTCAAAATCTTGAACCAAGGCACAGAGGGCCTGCATACAACACACACAAGTTGGGTGTATTAGTCAGTTGAAAACCCAAACCCCTGAATGACAAAGTTGGCAAGGGTTGAAATCGGCAAAGAACATTCGTCTGTGGACTCTGTACAGTGTATACACACCATAGACTTGCCATCGTCCTCCACGTTTCATTGCTGAAGCGCGTGAAAACTTTTAGGGTCAAAAGGCGCAGCGAGCACATGCCTCGGTTATGTAGGTACCGTTGGTACTGGTAACTAACCAGGCTGCGGTGGATGAAATCCTTTCTGATGAGCGTCACTTTCATCCAGGATCAGTTTTAGGGCCTTGCTTGGGCCCGCTTTCCAGCAGGTGTAGCTCCCCACTTCAGATGCATACAGCTGTATAATAGGGCATTGCCACACCACCCACAACTCACGCTTTGACTGGCACCACAGAGTGGGATGATGATTTTTTGTAAGTTTCTTTTTCACGACTTGCCGGTTGAAAAGGAACCGGACTGACGCTCCCAAGAATGTATACTGAGGGCACTCTCACACTGCTTACCCAAAATCATATGCTCTTGAACCACCAGTACTTGGGCACTGCGCGCCGCGCTGGCCGCCCAAATCTCGAAGCAGCGCGGGCTGTCGATTCGATTTATTGACGGCCCGCCGGCCGCGGAAATCGCGTAGCGTTAACGCTAAGGCGTTGCCCAAGTACTGGTGGTTTAAAAGTGCTTGCTCCAAACCAGTGAAAATTGTATAAGCAATGTTCGATCAGCAGGAAACCAAAAAAATGGGATGCCCGATTTGGGAAAATAGTGGCTGGATTGGTCACACTGCTTCCCCATTTCGCAACAGACAAGGTTGCGGCCGCCTGGATTTTGGGTCCTCTTCGACTGCTCCAGTCACACTGCGAGATCACATCTCCTGGCAATATCTTCGTCTTAGAATTTCTTTCCATTTCCGCAGGTTGATTCGAAACATGAAAGGGAATTTTGCGGTAACCTCCCGAGGTTGAGGTTACCGCCAAATTCGCGCAAATTCCCAACCCCTGTGGCCCCTCAGGCCGCTGACAAATGGGGTAAAGAATAAGTAGTTTGGGGAAAGGAGATCCTGGTGTGACTATCCCTTGACACTATTTTTTGGGGATTTGGGGGATTATGCGGATTTGGTACCGCAGTGTGAGAGTGCCCTGAGCCAGGCGATAAGGACCTGTTTTGTGAGGCGGGCCAGTTCGAACGACGTGTCATTGTTTTGACGGGTTCTCATTCTCAATGCTCACTCTTAGGGCGTCCAAAAAACGAACGGAGTGCATCTTCCCGCAGCAAATGGACAGGTTCATCACTTCACTATAATTAGTAAGGAGTGTATTTTGCCACCTTTCGTGGGCAGATGCACTCGTTTTCGTAATAATGCAGCTCTTTCTACCATATGGTATGAATTGGCATTGGGCCTGCTCCACTACTCTCTCCATGCACAAAAGACAAAAACATACCGTCGTGTGTCTTTCCAAGTACTGGCAGAAGATTCATTCTCCTTTTGCACATTCTGTGAGTAGTGGAGCGAGGCCCATTCATCTTCTTACAAAGTGGACTTCACCAACAATTAAGAACCTTATCTAGTATGGAAAGGATCTGCAACTTTTTGCAGAAGACTTTTTTTTTTTAACTACGCTATATCCTTCTCTCAAATCTTTCATCATCTTTGGAGGGAGACAACAAAGCTATGTTTGCAGGGGTCCCCTGTCTAAGCCTTAAAAGTAGTGGTAGGTAGGTAGTGAAGGTGAATTGAAAGAATTTTTGCAGAAGACTTTGACCTGGCTCACTTTTTTTTCCAAACCATCAGTACCCCCAACCCTCTTTTTCCCAATACACATTTGCACTGCGCCAACAAAAACGAACCGCCAATGCCGCACATTTTTCCTTTTGGGCTGACGGTGCCAGCCATTTTGGTCTGGTAACAGTGTTCATTCTTTTTTCTTTTTTTTTTCAGAAAAGCAGCCAACCGGAAGCTGGGGGTGCTGGTAAAAGCAGACACCGCTAGCACCGCCGGGGAGGCTCCATCTATTGGTGGGGAGCAGCACCTGCTGGAAATCGGGTCCAGCGTCCCTGATACTTTTTTTTTTTTTTTTTTCTTTCTCTCTCTTATATAAAGTCCAGGGTGTTGTAGAAGCCAGTTACTAGGCTCACATTGATCGCCGGAAGCTGTCAGCCATGATTGCCCTGAAGAGACGGGGCTACCTTCTTATCACATTCTTTACGTCAATACTCCTAGCGCATCCCCTATTCCTACTATCCTACCTCAGTGTGACCAGCACTCAGGATCATTACCCTACCATAGAGGGGAACTTGGACCGAACAGTAGTGACAGGCACCAGGGCTAGTGACCCAGCCCTGGTGGAAGCATAGTCGAACGAACCTCGTCGCACGGGAACTTCGGACGCCAGGCTCAAGCAATCACCTATTAGCCCCTAAGTAGACCGACTAGTAACTCATGCCCTCTCTTATCATCGAGACACCTATTATTAGTTGGTCGTGACCTCCTCCAGCCCTATGGTTTATGTATGTGTGATGTCCGGTATTGTAGGTATGTGCCCGCAGGCTATGTGTTTTTGTGTGTGGACCCGTAGCAGACGCTGCTCCCCACCATGGAGCATCTGCAAAGTGAATACCAGTGAGAGGTGCTCTAACATTGCACTTATTCATGTGATCACAATAAGAACCCAGTTTGATGCAAGGTTCTCAAGTTTGCCTGGGCGAGGTACTCTTTTTCGGAGGGGAGGGTTAAAATCAGTAGAATAGATTTGAGTCAAAAAAAAAAAAAAAAAAGTAGAGTCACAAAAACGAGTTGTAATTGCTCTATGGGGCAAGATACAGCTTGCAATTGCACTTCAGGCACCCTACCTGGCCAGAAAGCTGGGTTGTATACATTGCCCGAACTGCAATTCAAAACTGTACCTTGGCCCCTAGTGCACTTATAACTCATTCCTGTGACTCTGGCGTACTTTCCCCCTTTTTTTTTCTCAGAGAAGGTCAGCCGAGGTTACCCTTTTTTTTTTTTTTGGAAATAGCCCTTTGCGTAAGCCCTCTATACCGGCGGTGGTAAGAGAACCGTCCGAATTGAGGGCTTATTTGTCGGGCTGCTCCATCTATTGGTAGGGAGCATCACCTGCTGCTAACCGGGTCCAGTGTCCCATTGATATATCTTTTAGCACAGAGAATGTCCCATTAATGCATCTCATAACTCAGAGTGCGTTGTTTATTGTTTCCTAGGGCTATGACCATTTATGTCGCATCCTGGGGCCCCGTTATCACATAGAGCTGCCAGTATCACCCATCCCATATTGGAGCACCCCTTTTCTATTAGCCCTGCCTTATTCAGCAGCCCCCCTATTCGCCATTGCTATGTCTGTTTCTTAGGCTGGGGTGATATGAGCATCCTCCCCTAGTAGGGCCTACTGCTGGCTGCTCCATCTATTGGTGGGGAGCTTCACCTGCTGGAAAACGGGTCCAGCATCCCATTGGAACAACATTTGAACGACATTGGAACATTGGAGCATTGTCGGGGATTCCTGTGACTGAGACTGCTTTTGGAATCTGAGAGTATAATTCTGGAGATGCTACCAATACCCCTTCACCCTTAGCTGGGCGCCAGATCAAGCCTATGCGCTGGACATTGCATCTCCCTTGGACCAACTTCTTACACTCCTAGATCCCTGAATTGGCCTGTTCCCCAGACATCTGCTGCCCTCATAGACCAGAGACCCTTCCTCTCTCCTACTACCCTCCCTTACTATTCTTTTTTTTTTTTTTTTTCCTTTTTTTTTCACAAGGCTCCAATCTATTCGTGGGGAGCAGCGCGTGCTGGGAACCGGGCCCAGCGTCCCATATAAAAATTTAACAGATAGTTTGGAAATATGGCTAAGAAACAAAAACATATGCACAATTCAGAAAACGACTCAGACACCCCCAATCAATCCCCTGTACCCCACTCCGGCAAGACTTACTGCAGCAGAGCCACCATCTCCGCTGCTGCTGTACCCTATTCCCATCCTACCAGCTAGCCTGTGATACGCAACCTCACACCCCCTCGCAGCTTCCCGTACGGGGTCGCCGATCAGAGTTCTAGGAGGGGCGTGGCCGAGGATTTTTGGCCGTAAGGGTTGAGTCTCCCGGACGGACGGGAGGCTCTCGTTTCTTGGCCGAGGTTTTTCTCGCAGTCGAACTGTCGTCACGAAGTCCCGTGGGGGTCGGATTACTCCGAAACGATAAAATCAGAAGGGTTTCTGTGAAAATGAATTGCCGCCGTGCATCGGGACGGGAAAAGGCATCAAGGGGAGGAGGCCATGGCGGCGGACGACAAAAACTCCGGCCGTCATGGGTTCCGGGGATAGATGGTGGGTTCGAAGCCTTCAGGCCTCGTCATCGGCCTCACGAAGTGGCCGAACTCTCGGGTCTTTTGCTGTAGAGGTGGTTGGTTCGAGGCCTTCAAGCCTCGGCGTCGGACTCATAGAGCCCGCACGAAAGTTTCCGGGAGGGTAAAGCGGCGGGAGGACTCGCCGGCATCTGAATTCGAAATTGCGCGGGCAGCGCCCCCGCACTACGGGAAAGCTCGGGGAAACGTGTCGCTCCCTCGTAACCCAGGACCAGCCGTCGCCACGAACACGAGTCCCCCTGGCGACACCAGCGACAATCAAACTGCGGTCGCCACGCAGCGTGAGCGGCCAACCAGGGCAACACCGTTAAACCCGTATAAGGCAATATTAGAGTCGGGGAATCAAAGCGATCAATCAACACAAACCCGTTCCCCCTAATCTCACAAGCCCGAGGCGGGTCTTGCCAACACACTTGCTCCGTCCGCCTCAGCGCGCGCCGTACGTCCGCATCGCAGTAGACGCTGTCGTCATCTGTGATGGGGAAGGTCGGTAGCGAAATGAGACGATCGGAGGTACGTGATGAACACGGGCAAGATCCC